AGGAAAATTACACAAACCTAGACCCACGAGGGAACGCAGGCCCGAAAAGGTCAAGGTAAAAGGAATTAACAACAGAAAGAGGGAGACTATCGACCCAAAGTTTGGAAGGGGTCATAGAGTGACTCAAGGAAGCTAAAGCATCAGCAACTGAGATAGCCTCTCTAAAAGCATGTTGGAATTTAATCAAATTACAAAAGGAGGCAAAGTGTGAGACATCTTGGTGAAGTTGCAGAATACTCCAGGGTAGAGCATTTCTTGTTCACAACATCAATGACCACTTTAGAGTCACCTTTAATTATGATATTACGCCAGCCATATGATGAACTACATGAGCTAGACCATCTCTCAGAGTAAGGCATTCAACCACAGTAATGGAATTGACTCCAATATTTTTAGCTCGGTGTTGTCATTTCTAATGACAAATGGTTGCAACTCCATTTTTGACTAATCCATCGAAGTTGAGCTTGATCCAACCAAAGGGAGGAGGCTTCCATTTGATGTAGGGAACAACCTGTTTGGGTTTCTTGAGCTTGTGATTCGCCTTCCAGTAGTCTAGGTGAATGAGATTCGCAATAGAGAGAACTCGCGCAGGTGCCATATCCTTAAAAATGAGGTTGTTGCGAGCTTCCCATATCTGCCAGCAAATAAGGAGACCTTTGCAAAAATCATTAAGACCATGTTGATTATCAGTAGTGTTTAAAGAAGATAACCAAGCAATGTGAGCAATAATTAATAAGATAATTAGTCCTAGACCCAAGGTCAGATTTGGACTATCCTCCCTTTTTCCAGGCCTTACCTCATTTTCAACAAATTTCACAAAAGCAAGTTCATCCCTTTTGTTTTCCCTATTAAGAATGCGAGATGCATCTATCGGGGAGTTTACATAAATTGTCAAAATATTGTCTTATATTTAGGATTTTAATTTAAGATAATGCTTTATAGTTAAAATAATTGTTTCATAAAGTAGGAAGCACTCACTCACAGAGTGCTGCTCATCTCCAACAGTCACAACCACTCTACAAAAAATACCTGAATCCGATATCATTTGACCACTCAATTGAATTATTGAAATTTTAGTACTTTCTTGAAGCGTCTTATTCATTGATTTTGTAGGACACAATTAGATATCCAAACGGTTTCTGATTTGTCTAATTTTTTGTAAGAATGATCTATGAATGAAGACTTGAAAAATAGATGATTTGGATTGTTGAAAAAAAAATTGTAGGGTACCCTAAAGGGTGTCCCTCAAATCAAATTATTTAGGGTTTAGAGTACCTAAAGGGTGTCCCTCAAATCGGAAACCGTTTCGACATATAATTGCATCCTACAAAATAAATGAACACGATGCTTTAAAAGTACTAAAATTTCAATATTTCAATTGAGTGGTCAAATGATATCGAATTCAAGTGTTTTTTTTGTAGAGGTTATCTTTGAATGAATATCTACAAAATAGACCATTTGAATTAGTGAAATACAATACATAGTGGGCCCTACAAGGGTGTCCCTCAAATACTTATTTGAGGAATCCTTCAATTGAGCCTTCCTACAGTCCCCTTGTATTAAGAGATCCCTATGATTTTTTTTTCAAGGATCCAAACCATCTATTTTTAAGTTTATATTCATAGATCATCCTAGGAAAAAATTAGATCAATTGGAAATTTTTTCAACATCCAATTGTGTCATACAAAATCAATGAACACGGTATAGGCTTCCATTTGATGTAGGGAACAACCTGTTTGGGTTTCTTGAGCTTGTGATTCGCCTTCCAGTAGTCTAGGTGAATGAGATTCGCAATAGAGAGAACTCGCGCAGGTGCCATATCCTTAAAAATGAGGTTGTTGCGAGCTTCCCATATCTGCCAGCAAATAAGGAGACCTTTGCAAAAATCATTAAGACCATGTTGATTATCAGTAGTGTTTAAAGAAGATAACCAAGCAATGTGAGCAATAATTAATAAGATAATTAGTCCTAGACCCAAGGTCAGATTTGGACTATCCTCCCTTTTTCCAGGCCTTACCTCATTTTCAACAAATTTCACAAAAGCAAGTTCATCCCTTTTGTTTTCCCTATTAAGAATGCGAGATGCATCTATCGGGGAGTTTACATAAATTGTCAAAATATTGTCTTATATTTAGGATTTTAATTTAAGATAATGCTTTATAGTTAAAATAATTGTTTCATAAAGTAGGAAGCACTCACTCACAGAGTGCTGCTCATCTCCAACAGTCACAACCACTCTACAAAAAATACCTGAATCCGATATCATTTGACCACTCAATTGAATTATTGAAATTTTAGTACTTTCTTGAAGCGTCTTATTCATTGATTTTGTAGGACACAATTAGATATCCAAACGGTTTCTGATTTGTCTAATTTTTTGTAAGAATGATCTATGAATGAAGACTTGAAAAATAGATGATTTGGATTGTTGAAAAAAAAATTGTAGGGTACCCTAAAGGGTGTCCCTCAAATCAAATTATTTAGGGTTTAGAGTACCTAAAGGGTGTCCCTCAAATCGGAAACCGTTTCGACATATAATTGCATCCTACAAAATAAATGAACACGATGCTTTAAAAGTACTAAAATTTCAATATTTCAATTGAGTGGTCAAATGATATCGAATTCAAGTGTTTTTTTTGTAGAGGTTATCTTTGAATGAATATCTACAAAATAGACCATTTGAATTAGTGAAATACAATACATAGTGGGCCCTACAAGGGTGTCCCTCAAATACTTATTTGAGGAATCCTTCAATTGAGCCTTCCTACAGTCCCCTTGTATTAAGAGATCCCTATGATTTTTTTTTCAAGGATCCAAACCATCTATTTTTAAGTTTATATTCATAGATCATCCTAGGAAAAAATTAGATCAATTGGAAATTTTTTCAACATCCAATTGTGTCATACAAAATCAATGAACACGGTATTTCAAGAAAGTACTAAAATTTCAATATTTCAATTGAGTGGTCAAATGTAACATCCCGCATCGACCAACGGAGAGGGGGTTATGCCTTATATGTACATGCCCGCCTCCATCTAACACGAGGCCTTTTGGGAGCTCATTGGCTTCGAAATCATGGGAATTCCGAAGTTAAGCGAGTTTGGGCTAAAGCAATCCCAACATGGGTAACTCACTGGAAAGTTGCTCGTGAGTTCCCAGAAACAAAACCGTGAGAGTAGAGAAGGGAGCCCAAAGCGGACAATATCATGCTACGGCAAAGCACATCCCGGGATGTGACAATTTTGTATCAGAGCCACTCTACTGTGTGATGCGAGTGTGCCGACGAGGACGTCGAGCCCTTAAGGGGGTGAATTGTAACATTCCGCATCGACCAACAGAGAGGGGGTGATGTGCCTTATATGTATATGCCTGCCTCCGTCTAGCACGAGGCCTTTTGGGAGCTCACTAATTTCGGAGTCATGGGAACTCCGAAGTTAAGCGAGTTTGAGCTAGAGTAACTCTAGGATGTGTAACCCACAGGGAAGTTGCTCGTGAGTTTCCAGAAACAAAACCGTGAGGGCAGAGAAAGGAGCCCAAAGTGGACAATCTCGTGCTACGGCGGAGCCAATCCCGAGATATGACATACAAAATAGAAGATTTGGATTAGTGAAATACAATAGAGTGTGCCCTACAAGGGTGTCCCTCAACTAAAGCTTTCTATATTTATATAGTCCCCTTCTATTAAGGGATCCCTCAAATAATTATATTTGAGGGACACCATTTAGGGTCCCTTATGAAATTTTTTTCAACAATCCAAACCATCTATTTTTATTTCTACATTCATAGATCATCTTAGCAAAAAATTAGACAAATTGAAAACCATTTTGACATCCAATTATGTCCTACAAAATCAATGAACACGGTGCTTCAAGAAAGTATTAAAATTCCAATATTTCAATTGAGTTGTCAATTGACATCAAATTCAAGTTTTTTTTAGTTTTTTTAGTTTTTTTGTATTTATAGAGATGATATTTGAATGAATATCTACAAAATAGACAATTTGAATTAGTGAAATACAATATATAGTGGGCCCTATAAAGGTGTCTCTCAAATAAGCTTATTTGAGGGATCCCTCAACTGAAATTCCCTATATATATAACGAATTTTAATAAATTTAAAATGTTAAAATAAAAATAAAAAAATAAAAAAAACCGCTAGCTGACGTTAGCACACCTTTAATAGCAGCCCTTGAATCTGTCGTTAGTTTCCAGTTGCACGAAATGATCCACTAATCACACCCACAGTCTTCCTCCTGTTGGGCAGCACATGTATTGAGCCCAAAAAAAATAATTTTGACCTGAGCTACAGTTAGGCTACATGCCGCCTGAAGAAGGACTAAAGAGATATATGTTTCCTAATTTTTTTTGGCCCATGCTGGTGATAGCCTAATACAAAACGGTTTGGATACAAAATAACCATGCAGTCTAATGATATGGGTTTTGGACCAAACTTGAGAAGTTCCCGGCTGGTGCAGCAGCTTTTGTTGACTGAAAAAAAAAAAAAAAGTGCTTGAAATAAGTTGCATCCTGGACCCAAGTGTATTTTATTTTGTTATTTTATCTCTGCAAAATGGTTTCTCAAGAGTCAGTGGACCGGACAATGGAGGCCAAAAAGCCCAAAGCCTAACATTCTCTTTCAGAACAAAAAAATTCAAATGGTTCTAATGGAGATTCTCTATTTAGGTAGCAACTTTCTCAGGCCTGACCAGAATTTAAATCAATCAAAAGAGCTTTCTTTGCAACACCCATTTGGTGGCTGATATACAAACTTGATCACATAAAAACCCTTACCTGAGAGCCAAACCTATACTGTTTGGGACATGTACCTCCCCATTTGTATATAAGGGGATGTTGTTCCTACCCAACAGAACAGACAACACAAGGTATAGAGTTTAACATCTATTTACTAGCAAAACCACTAAAAGATAGATCTGTTGGGCTTTGTTACTAGGTGAAGAGGGTCGATCTACAACATTCACTAGACCATGTACAAGAAAAGAAAAAAAGGTCAATTGTTAGTATCCATTAGTAGCTTTTTCAAAGTCCATACAAACAAACTAGGCTACACAACTTGGCAGTGTATTGTGTCAGATAAAAACCAAAAAATAGAAGAGAAAGGGTTCTATACAGTTCAGTCTACATAGGTCTCAACAGAAAACCATATACGAAGAAAAACCAAAGTCACAAACCATGTAGCATGTATCTGTCAAAAGAGGTTCAGCAACATCTTCTTTGAGTGCATATTACAGAGCTTCCTTCTTGAGCATGGTAACTGATGCATCCTTTAACTTACATATTCCAACGCACATACACTGAATTCCATCTGGCATTCAACAAGAAACCATGCATGTAAGATCAAAAGATCACCAGCCTCATCTTGATCACCTCCTGTATTTGCCTATGTCATTGCCACTAACATGTTAACCAGTAGAATATGACTTGCCACTACTCTGTACATTTCAGGCCACTTAAATAAACCTGGGATTGAATTACTGTCCTTCCAATCTTAAAACCCGGAACCACTGTAAACCCAACTTTCATCCTGGTTGTACCTGGCAACAACAATCTCCTAGTGACATCTTCCATATACACCATTGAAAAATCTATGCCTCTTTCCACTTGGAATATCTCAACCGCTGGATCAAAGGAGTAGGCCAACTTTTGGAGCATCCATATCGAGCTAGCCATGCTAACGAATGAATCATAGAATACACTCAAAGACCTCCATGAACTCAACACAACTTGGTTTCTATCCAAATTACTAAAAATTGAAGATTCCACGGTGGGGTGGATAATCTCTTGATACTTGCTCTCACAAAATCTTGAAAATTCACAGTTTTGATTCCTACTTAACAACTCCATTGGATTGCTTGACGCATGCTCAAGTAATTGCTTCAAAGAAGCCTTATTCTTATCCAACTCCGGACCATGCCCATTACACAACATTTCACTCTCATCTAAACCAAAACCTTTTGAATCAAAACCTTTGAACATTCCCAAACAAACATATGACAAGAAAGCATACCGGTTATGCGCTTTTTTAACATACTCAATATCAGGATGAACTAAATTAGCAGCCAAATCTAAATCCCACCCAGCTTTCTCCATCAAAGTTATCAAAATTTTAGTAAATCTGTGTGTTAATCTACAAGCATCATGTAGAACCGAATCAAAGACTCTAACGGACAACAAAACTTCACAAGGAGAATTCAAAGTAGCAGATAACCTCTTAGATAGTTTCAAATTAGACTTTTGAATCTCACCCAATTTTTTCCTCAGAGCCATAACTTCATTGTCTTTTTGATCAATCTCTGTCTGTAACCTGTTGGACATGGTTCCCAAAGTCCTAAGCTTGCTCTGATTCTCTTGCACCTGAGCTTCCAAGCAAGACCCAATTGGAATATCAGAACCAAAATTAGAACTTGTACAAAAATCTCTATAAAAATGCTTGAATTCTGAGAGCCTCTGAAGGTGAGAGATCAGAGCTCGATCAGCTGCCTTGAGATTTTCTTCAACAAAAGGCACATGGGCAGTCTGTAATTGAAGGTACGAAGCTTCAAACGACGAAACCGTAGCAAAAATCGACGAAAGCAGAGTCTGGGTCATCTGGGTATTGATAGGTCTGATCTGGGTTCTGCTCAAAGACCTTGTAACCGCCGAAAGCTCTGGTTTCTTCACTTGGGTTTCGCTCAAATTAGGCTTCGTCGGTGTAATTTGTAGCTGTGAGTCTTTGTGGTCCGCCGCTGCTCCGTCTGGTTTGATGACGACGACCTTCTGGTCTGTGATGACCTCTTCAGCAGAGTCGAGAAGTGCTAAGCTATCGGAGTCCTCAGCTTCCTCTTCAGCGAAGAACTCGAAAGTTTTGGTCTTGAAAGCGAGAGCGAATTTCTGAAACATTTCAGAGATTTGTGGAGGTCTCGAAGAGCCATCATCCATTTCTGTCATTTTCTTTTCTTTCTCACCTTCAGCCTTGAGTTTGCTTTGAAATCGAATTGAATTGAAAGTTTCAATCTTTCTTTTCCTTTCTCTCCGTACAAAGAAGCGAGACTTCTTGAGCTCTACTCTTTTTCTCGCGGAGGTGCTTTGAATGTCTTGGAAGGAAGGTATTATTTGTGTGTGGGTTTGGCTTGCTGGTGCTGGAAGCCTGCGCTTCTCTTTTTCTTTCTTTGTATTTTTATTTTCATTTTTCTATTCAATTTATCTGTATGTCAATCACATGTTTTATTTTTTATTTTTTATGTCCTCACTAGAACAAATTTCTCTCCTCCCTAGACTCCTAATTATGCTGACTTCTTCCAGATTTGGGTAACGGTAATAAGTATGACGACTAGAATAATATGATGGGTACCTTTGGTCAGTGACAGACCAATTGTTAATTTTGTTTAGATGGAAATGTTGGAGACTATAGGCTCTTTGGTGAGATGCATTACCTTTAGGTGTTTTTTTCGTTTTTATGCAAGCCAAAGATTAAGAGGGGGTAAACAAACACAGAATCTCGAATATAAGAATAACTGTTTTTAGTCATTTGAACAACTTATCACTTACTTTCTTTATGTTTTATATATTATGAGATTCTCAAAACTATTGATATATTTACGTTTGATTTTGTAACCATCACTAACAAGGAGGGCTACAGTTGACCCAAAGAGGACGCCGTGTTTATCATTTTTCTTTTGGATTTTTGAGAGATTGAAATACAGATATTGAACCCCAAGTATTGAATGGTGCATTTAATTTCTGCGCGGTCAGTTGATACAGTTTGACGTATAGCAGGAATTTATGAATGTGATGTGAGCTATTTGCTGCCTCTCCTTCACTGTCGCCAGTATTAGTACATGAAGTAAATGAAAACTAAACTGAAAGAATATCAAATTCCGAGCAAAGTAAAATAACTGTATGAAAAATCATCTGATTCACAGCATGTGTTGATAGGGTTTGAAAGAGAAGACTGAGTTAATAGATTTGTGGGGTGTGGAGTGAGTTGGAAACTTACCTGTCTTAAATATAAAAGAGAGAAGAAAATGAAACGAAATGCAATCTTGGATCTTCCTTGCTCTGCGACATGAACCAGTGCTTTTTTACAACTTTTCAACAAGGGGTTTGGAGTTGAATATGAATTAAGCATGACCCCATCAATGATAAAGATTAGGTAGCAGAAATTCTGGCTTCCATGTTTTCGGTCTTTCACTTTACTCTCTCAGCATCTAGGTGAATGCTTTATTATATTAAAAGAAGAAAGAAAGAAAAAAAAGTAGTGTTCTGGCTTTAGTCTTGCTGTCATTGTGATGGTGTCTTGTACAATGTAGAGGATCAAAACTTTCACTGGTGTGATGATGAACAAGAGTGAACTAAACTACAAAAGTGGCTTTGCATGTCTTGCAAGTTTCCCTCTCCTCTGAGTCTCTGTTCGGGAATGCAATCATTATAGCTTTATGGACCCTTAATGTGTCTGCTGTTCTTTAGGCAGACACTTTGTAGTGGGCTTCACCTTCCCAAACTCAGGTACAAAATGGATTATAGTATAGATTTGGAATATATAGATTCATAATTCAGTTGTCAAAATGAAAAAGAAAATCCCCCATAAACCCTAATTCAAGTGAGAAGTTGGATTTGGTCCTACCCAATTAGCCTAACTAATGAATGAGTGGAAGCTCAAGGTTATAGAAGAAGCATAAATATATATATATATTTTTTAGTACAAGCGATAGTCTCAACTAAAAGTGAGAGGGATTTCTCTCTCACACACATTGCTATAATGCCATGAAGGTTCGAATCTAAGACCACTAGACTATACCCGGTTGACATAAATATAGAATTTCCCAATGTGTATGAGATGTGAGTTTGATCAATTTTGTGCAACCTTGCAAATACCATCCAAGAGATCCCTTTAGTGGAGTAGTAGGTCAAAAAGCCTTTGACTTAACCAAAATGGGATCCCTTTTGTTTGGTGAAAACTTGGGCAATGTATTGTAGGGTAGGTAATGGGTTGTTAAACTTTGGTCAAAGTGAGCCCTAATTAAAAACCTCAGAACTAGCAAAGCACTAAAGACTTGCTTTTCCACTACAATGATTAGCATCCTTGATCTTCTTTCTCTGTCGGCCTTGCTTTGAAAAGAAAAACAAAACAAAAAACAAAAAAAAAACAATTGTAGTTCTTATATATTAAGAAAAAGAAAATCAACATATATGCAAAGTGATGGAAATCATTAAGCATCCAAATCCACCACTAGACTTTAGTAATATTACAGAAAATGACAACCATATTCAAACAAAATAAATAGGATTATTTTGTTCTTTTCCTAATTGTCATGTTTTACAGTTGATGGATTCCTTAAATTCTATCTAAAACATGATTAACAAGACAATTAGAAAAGAACTGGCTCCTGCATGACCCATAAAACAGTTAGCTGGTGCTAAAGATTCGACCACTTCTGGTCAAACAGACAAGAACCAAGATTTTTATGTTTTTTATTTTAAATATATAATTTGTGATTACGACAGTCATTGCATTAAGTCAATGTCAGAGGAAAAAAATATTTACTTATCACCCTCTCTAACAAGGTTTTCTAATTATTTTACCAATTTTCTCACATTTAATAATAAAAAATTATCTTAATCCTGTCTAAATCCATGCACTTAGAAAGTAGTAGAGTGTTTGACATTTTGGTATTAATACAAAATTTAGCTTAAAGTTTTATCAAAACTAAAAGTCGTGATTAATATTAGCAGCACTTAGCATGCGACCGAGATTTTGTTCAACTTGTCTCGACAGATAATGATGCTCTCTCTCTCCCTCTCCACTTGTTTGTTTGCATGCGGAGCAGTCTGCCTGTCTCTGTCCGTCCTAATATTATAATGGCCAAATGGTGTGCAAGGACTCTAGTCTCATGCTTTTTCATATAATAATAACAATTTGACCATTATAATATTTGGACAATTTTATTAATAATGACGAAATTGAAGAGAAAAACTCAAAATAGCCAATGGTTATTTTTTTAATTGGTTCTTAGGGTTCGTTTGACATTGTTTATTTGGGGTGATAATAAGTAATTTTTTAAAAAAATTGAGAAATCCAGCTCGTTTGGTAAACTATGAGAAAATAACTTATTATTACAAATTACCTTGAGAGAAAACTATTTATTTTCTGATTATGTGAGAATCAGTTTCGAAAAGGTATTGAGTTTAATGAAATATACGAACTTCTAAAAATACCCCAATGTATTTCACGCAATCTCTTCTCTTCACACATTTTCTCCTTGGCATCCCTTTGCCTCTTCATGCCATATTTTTCACAGAGTTCTCCTTCTCTTAAATCTCTTCTATTCTTCATATTATTTTTACTTGTTGAATCAATTGAAACACACTCTTGAGAAGCCACAAGACTCAAGTAAGAGGCATATTATGTTTATTTTTTCTCAATTTCATTCTTCCTTCTTTCTCTTTAATTTCTAGGATTAACTTCAATAGTTTTTGTTGTTGGTTTTTATTTATTTATTCTGTTCTTGTTTTTGTTTCTTTGTTACTTTGACATAATATTTATTTTTAATGGAATATATTGGATTTAACTTGGAACATTAGTTTAGAGCGTTTGGATACAAATATTTAATTTTCAACATAATACTTTCTTTATTTTATAATTAAAATAATTTTTAGGGTGTGATGGAAACATATTTAATACAATATATATATATAAGTGAAAGTGAAAGTGTTTTCCCTTTTATCAAACACTTTAACAAAAAAATTCATTTCAACATAATGCCATTTTTAGTCATTATTACACAGCTTGCAGCACTTTCACAAAAAAGTTTACCAAACACTTAGAAACTGATTATTATACCAACAACACTTTTAACAAAAAATTTACCGAACGCCAAACTGTTTTCTCTCACAACTGATTTCTTTCACAGCAAATCTGACAAAGATTATTTTCACAACACAGCAATACCAAATTGATTTGTTAAAATTTTCTAAGAACCAATTAGAAAATCATAAGTGGCTAGTTTTTGGTTTTTCTCTCCAAATAGGTTTTATATGGGTATTGTATGTTATGTTAGAATGGCCTATTAATGAAAAGCCCAATAATAATAACCATTTATTATTATTATTATTATTATTAATTTTATAAGTTTAGCGATCTTGCTTTTTCATATTGGAAACAAAAGGAGTACGACTCGAACCTGTTTCATTTGGACATTTTTATAAATAAAAAAATATATATGTATACTGGACTCTCTCGTTTAGTTGTTTTTATTGGGCCTCTGTTGTATTTCGCGTGTGTGGGTATTTTTTTGGGCCCTTTCTGAGCCCAGAGAAGTGTGTATTCTGAAATTAGATTGTGTATCTAGCAGCTACAACCCCTCATCACAGTCTCTCCGTGCAACCGACCCTAGCTTGCTAGACTTTTTCTATTGTAATCTTTCTCTATCTAATGAATTCTTGATTGGCAAAAAGGAAAACACACAGTTATTTTTTTGGCACAAAGCCACTTAAGAAAGTGGACTTTGGGCATGGAGTAGTGCACATTCTTATAAGATTATAAGATGGGATAAATCCCACAAAAATGGTGGAAATTTTGAACAAACTGGACTTGGATCCAATACAAACATTGGAGAGGTTGGATCCATACTATTACTGTTCTCAATCTGTCCATGTTGTGGTCGGAAGGGTTCAGTATGGGTACTTCTATGGCCCAACTTGTGCCTTGCCTACAATTTGGGCTCAAACAAAACTTTTATTAAAAAAAATTATTGAGAGATTGCGTCAAAGGTAACCCAAAAAAAAAAAAAAGATTGCGTTTGATTTAGAAAATGAACGGTTCCGATTATAGTATATATGGTGAAGATATATGCCAAATATCCTTTTTATGGAGAATCACGTCTCCATATAAAGTGATTATATAGATAAGCACAAAAATCACTCTAAAACGAACCCTAAGTTTGTCCATTTAGGACTCTCAAATTTCAAGAATTTGTACACGCAAAAATCATAGAGGTATTTGCTTCTTAACCCATAAGCAACTTACCTGCTTTCCTTCTTTCTTTCTTTTTTTTTAGTCAAACCGCAGGAATAACATACCTGCTTTTTTTTCTCTTTCTTGTTTTTTTGGTCAAACCGCAGGAATAACATACCTGTTTTCTTTTTTCTGATGCGAACATACCTGTTTTT